GATTTTCATTTCGCATTGCGATTCTCTTGTTGCGATTGTAATTTTCGCATTGCGATAGTCAAATGAATGCCTAATAAGTGATAACAACTGAATAACAAGTAAGAGTTGGTTAAGTCAAAATGGTTGGCCTGAGTCATTAATTCAGCTGAAAATGTTAAAAGTTCACACATAAAATCCACATAATACAATGTTTGCATTTAAAAATCACCTAAGTTAACAGTCCCAAAAGGTGAAGCCAGTTGTGATTGGGATTTTAAAGATGATTGCCTTTTGCTTGACACCATATGAGCTTTGGATTTTGATGAGGACCCATATTTTGGTAGAGGAAAATATGATTGTGATGGCACTAGTGATCCACATGTCAACCTTGTATGACCACTTTCCTTGCACCGACTACATGTCGATCTCTTATTCTCTTCACCCTTAGACGGTATACGATCGTGAATTTTTGGTCAGCCAGGTAGCCTTCTGTCCATGGCTGGTGGCAAAACTGTTTGTAAGTCATCTGGTATGTCCCACTCAGAAGGATGTGGAATAGGGTAGACAATCTTGGCATAAGTCTGTCGATAAACTTCTGTAGTGTAGCAATCCATAGCGTATGCGCTTGAATCATCTTGGTTTAGATGAAGAACAACTTTTATAACATGGCCACACGGATAACCAGATGTTTGCCATTTCATACAACTACACGTCTTTGCATTTAGATCGACCAGCCCATTTAAGTTATTATCCAGTACTTGAAACAAAGTGTTTGAACATGGTTCAACTCTCCATGACGTTGACTTCACAACACGTTTCGTTATCTTTTTTTCAGTCCATGGTGTAACAGGATGTTCCAATGTTCCTGTAAATTTAAATAAACAATACTTAGTAAAATATATGATAAGTTATGATTTTAAAGAAATAATTACCTGCATGGTTTCTTTTCTTGTAGTACCACTGTTGAATAGAGGCTCGAAAAAACTCCATTAACATAGTAATAGGTAATTTCCGGGAATGACGACGTAGAGCGTTGATTGATTCTGCACTATTAGACGTCATGAAACCATATCTTGCTCCAAATTGATGTACTCTTGACCATCTTTCAAACCCGACATATTCTAGTGTTTGAGCACACTGAGGCAAAACACGTCTTAAACAGTTTATATGCTTATTAAAATCCACTTCCCGATAAGCTTTTACAGCCTTCCAGTATGTCCATTTGTGCTTTTTTATACCAGCATACCTTGATTTTAGATTTCTATACAAATGAACACCACAAAGTCCATGAAAAGCATCTGGGAAACACCTTCTAACAGCGTTGTCAATTGAGTTTGCCCTATCGGATATGATTGTCAGATTGCTAATAGGACCTATGCAATCCCTAAGATGCCCCATAAACCATGTCCATGAATAAGAGGTTTCAGATTTGCCAACCCCGTAAGCTATTGGCAATATCCCATTGTTAGCATCCATGGCTACTGCTAATAAGTTTACTCCAAGGTATCGACCTTTCAAATGTACTCCGTCAACTATAATAACTGGGCGCATGCAAGTAATAAACGAACGAATCTACAAAATAATATACACAAGAAATATAATCATTTAAATGTGAAATGCATGTAACTAACAAAAATGAGTCAACAAAATTATATTGATTTACTAACCGTAGCACCAATGGCGATAAACAGCAACTCAAAGCGTCCATCTCTATCTATTTTGATATGAGTTACCGACCCAGGATTTTTCAGCTTTAAATTGTGACAATAAGCCGGCAGTTAGGCAAACGATGCTTCTGGCGACCCCCTCAACAATTCCAATACATAAAATTTGACTCTCCAAGCTTGAGAATATGATATACTAATCTTGAACCGAGCATTCATGTCAGTCATAATTTCATGTCCCCGATATACCCTGCCATTCAAAAACATTAACTCAGCCAGAAAACCACCCAACACCTTTTTGTTTGCCTGTCTATGGTTAGGAAAAACTTGGGTTCTTGAACATGTATGTTTATCAATAAAAGTCCTAACTTGAAACACTTCGCAATCTTTTATCCTCTTTGCAATCATACGCCACGTACAGTTTTTGTCAATCATACACCTTGTTTCGAAACGATCTTTGCTTGATTTGTTAACTTTTAGTTGATAGCTATCTTCCACATATTTCGTATACAAAGCTATCTTCAAGTCTTACTTTGTATCAAAACAATCATCTTTCTTGATACAAATAACTTTTGTGTAACAATCAACTGCGTTATTTACCAAATCTTCTTCCGGTATCTGAAGTAATTCTGGCATATTCTAGTTATACTCCCGTGGCATTTTCTTCTTTTTCTTTTCTTCGGGGAATTCTTCTCCTTTTGTTTCTTCTTCAGGGTTATATGAATTACAGAATGGATGTTCAACATGTTCATTCACATTCGTAACTTCATGCTCATTATCATCAACAACATCTTCTTCGGCAATGCCTGTTTCATCATCAAAATTCGGGTATTGACCAATATGAAAATTATTACACGTCGGGTTTGATTCTTCTTCTGAAACATCATCAAAATCCGAGTATTGACCAAGATCAAAGTCCGGGTATTGACCAAGATCAAATTTCGAATACTGACTAGTACTCATAATTTTTTCTGTTGGCTCATTATCGTCTAACTGGTCAATACGAAAACCGAAATTTGGTGCTGAAAGTTGATTGGGATTTGGATTAGGGAAAGGTTGTAGGTTTTGAGATTGTGTTTGATATTGTGTTTGGTATTGGAAATGTGGTGAAACAAAAATTTCTTGGTCATGAAATTGTGGTGGAACCATTAAATTTTGAGGTTGATAACAACGTTGTACATTATGAGCACCATAAACTGGGGCTGAAGAACTTAGTTGATTACTACCCGCTACTGATCCAACTTCACTACTTCTAGGTTCAACAACATACAATGTAACATCATCTTGCGAAACTCTAATGTAAGCAATGAATCGTTCAACATCTTCATTGTCGGATAACAAATAAACTTTACCTTTTCTCTGATAAGATAGTATAAATCCACTTAGGGGCTCTAAATTCAATTTCTTTGAAACACGTAACATTAGAGTTTCATAAGTTAACTTTTGTAAAGACAGTTTTAGTTGAAGATTCATAGGTAAAGGCATATATTGTAAAACACCATGAACATTCTCCCATGACCCTCCAAAACACAAATCTATCCAAACATGATCAACATTAGATGATTTCATGGTTGTAAATTAATTTACTAAACAGACGAGCTGCGAAACTAAAACCTATTGCCGGATGGGGAAGGATGTCGTTGGATATAGGAACGGATGTCGTCGGAGAGAGTGATAGATGGAGATGGAATAAGTTGTGATTTAGGGATTTAGTTTATGATTTGCTGCTGTTGCGTAGTTATATACCCAAAATTTAAGCGTTGCGATTTACAGATTCTCGTTGCGATTTACGGATTATCGTTGCGATTTACGGATTATCGTTGCGATTTACAGGTTCTCGTTGCGATTAACGTATTCTGGTTGCGATAATCAGAATCGCGTTGCGATTTTACGTATTCTCGTTGCGATTTACGGATACGCGTTGCGATTTTACGTATTCTCGTTGCGATTTACGGATACGCGTTGCGATTTTACGTATTCTCGTTGCGATTTACGGATACGCGTTGCGATTTTTACGAATACTCGTTGCGATAGTAAGAACCGCGTTGCGATTTATATGTTTGCGTTGTGATTTTCATATTCGCGTTGCGATTCTGGAAACTGATTTGTGATTCTGGGGATCGCGTTGCGATTTTTATTTCGCATTGCGATTTTGTTGGTCATGTTGGCAAATCCAAAAAAAGTTGGTTAAAATCGTATATTATAAGGCATTTTTGGTCACTGAGACGATTTTCTCATTTATAAATAGTTATTATGACTTTAATCTTCACACTAATGAAATTATGAAAATTACTATATAAGACATCATATATGGCTAGAAAAGGGAGATTATACTCTTTTTCTCTCCCTTGATTTCTCATTTCACATCATATATCATCCATCTTAAACTCACTAGAATTTTCGATTATGGGATCAATCGCCACAATTTTTCTATCAATAAATTTGATAATAATCGAATTAAATTCAAAAAATTTATCCAACCAAACAAATAACTACTTAAAGACCTGAACTTAGTGGCTTCAATTCCACAATTTTGGAAAATTATGAATCCTTTTGAATAAAAGCATTAAGGGATAGATTGTTTGCATCTGTGTTGACTTCTTGAAAGTGGTATAATTGATGAGATTCATTGTATGCTTCCATAATCCATTGATTGACTAGCAGAGAGTCCTTATCAACAACCCTAAGTCTGTAGAGCCTTAGAAAGAAATTCACTATATAATCGTAGTATAAAAACATTTTAATCTTAACTCAAGTCATCTTTTTGTCATAAAATAAGAGTTCTATGTCATACTCATACATGCCTTCTAAAAAGTGAGTAAGTACAATATTCTAAAGAATTGATCGTTGGAACTTTCGAAGTGATGTCAATGCCCTGACCTAGACTCGAAGCCTACTAACCTACAAAAAAACTAAATTTTACAAACCTAGTAAGACACAACCACTCTATAAGTTGCATAATGAAACAAGTAATGCATACAGATTAGGTAATAAATATAGCATAAACATTCAAGATATTAACATAATCTGAAAGTAGACAGACCGACATATTATAAACATTCTAGGTGGATTATTGGAGGCTTTCTTATTATAGTGGTCTGCCTTTCATCTGCAACATTGAATGTTCTTCAAGTGATTAACTCAGCTTGGATTTTCCATTAACATATTTTTCCATCTTAAAGACATGTATATGTTTAAATCCGAATCTTCTAAAAAATAACAGTTTTTTCTATATAGCATATCAAATACAAAACCACTTCTAACTCTGAAACATTCAAAGTAAAACGCGTACCATTGACTTTTCTCAATGCCAATGCAAGTCAACCATCTTATCTTCTTTATGAGCTAAGTAAGCGATATAAACTCTTCATTTACCTTTAGTCTTCATCTTCCATGGTGGGAAAATGGGAAAGCTAAGCCACGAGTTACACATACAGCACTTCAGCCATCCCCATCCGCTCGAGCTAACCATTAATCCTCAAACCCTCAACCTCTCTCCATGTTCAGCCTGCAAGCTCCAATCCTCTGGGTGGATGTACACCTGCAAACCCTGCAACTTCACCCTCCACACTTCCTGCAGTCAGCTGCCCCGTCTGATCACTCATCCGTGCCATCCCGACCACTCCCTCAGCCTCCTCCCGGGGCCGGCTTACCCAATTGGGTATTTCAGCTGCGATGCTTGTGGTCAACGGGGCTATGGGTTCAACTACCATTGTAATCAGTGTGAGTTCGATATCCATTCCCTGTGTGCTTCGAAGCCATTAGCTATCCGCTGCGGTTCTCATCCTTGCCAGCTTCAACTCTTCTTTTACCCTCCTTATCAAACCAAGGGTTTCTCTTGTGATGTTTGCCATCAGATCGGGTCCAACCACTGGCTATATCGGTGTAGTATTTGTGAGTTCGATGTTCATATGAGTTGTGTCAACAACACCGCTGCAAATTCTGCAGGTACATATACAAACCCATATAGAACTACAAGTACAACAAGTGCATATACGAGCACACCCAGACAAGGGAATGCTCAGATTCAGGCATGGAACACATTTCCAGGGTCAGTTCAAAGCAATAATTTGCAGTATGGAAATGGAGCTGCCGCACCAATGAACAATCAATGTTACAACAGCCAAAACAATGGAGCGCCAGCGGGGAATGATTTGATTGGTGTTGCGATCCAGGGGTTTGTGGAAGGAGCGGCTCAACAAGTTGGTCAGAACTTTGTGCAGAGTTTGATGGGCGGTGGTGATTCCAACGATGGTGGCGATAATGGTGGCGATGAATAATAATATTTTTTCTGCATGAATATTGGGATGATCATGGTCTCAGTTACTTCCATGATCATCAATAATGGAATTGGCTTTTCTTTAATCTTTTTGTATGTACTAATACTCTGTTTCGGCATCAATGCTATAGGTATTCAAGGGTTGAAATCTTTGGTTTGATGTGAAACCACTACTTTTCTTTCTTTATTCTGCAAACTGATCATAGTTTTCCTTCTTCTTTTTGCAACTTGGCATTGCCTAAAGTCAACTTTAACTACTTCGTTTTTTTATAGACTAGTCGATGTAAAATATAAATCATACGCCTCAAACTTTATAAGTCATAATACAACTTTTATTTGTTAATTTCATCAAATAAGTATTACGTACAATAAAAACATATATTTTCAAGAACATCCATATTTAAGCTTAGAGAAAAATTGAAGGAGACCGGGGATAGTTATTCCTCTAAAAATTTCAAATAATCAATATTTTGGACATATAACACCCTGAATTTTAGTCAACGAATAAATTGCAAAATATTAAAGTTCGGAATTAAAAATGAAAGGCAAATAAGGGAGCTATGGACTAATTTGATTACAGGATAGAACTTTGAGCCAAAAGGATGAACTCTAAGAAAATAGTGGCCTTGTGTGTAATTTACTCATAACATTTTGGGGAAAACAAAACGTGTGTTTCAGGATTTAAACTTGTGTACCGCTGCATATCAGGCCTATACCCTAGCCATTTGATTAATATAAATATTTTATATATTTTCAATATATCACGTCGATTTTAGGCCCCTACCCCCGTGAAGCACAAAACCACCCCTTGTCTCCAAGCTTTTCCCCGCCGTTCAACCAATTTCAATCATCCGTGGTGTCGATTGTCACCATCATCATCATTAGCGATCTCTCGCGACCAAAACCCCTTGCTATGGAACGTTGTCGATCGTCGTGAATCAGTGTTTGAGTGTTCGTTGAAAACTCGTCGGCCACCGTTGATATCTTCAATTTCTGGTCGAACCCAACGTCGTTACGCCTCACCGCCCCAAGCACTGGACCCCCCGTCATTGTCCACTCAGAACTCAGCCGGTGGAATGCTTCATCGTCGCTCTGTCACCGTTCTTCAAGGGTAAGTTATCATTTTTTTCATTTGGTTTTCCGTTCAATTTGATTGATTTTTGGGTTGATTGAGATGTTATTTTTAATGTTGGGAGATGTTGTAGTAATCGATCGTCGTCCCCGATCCTGTCGCTGCTGTCACGCGTCATCGTGTACACGTGGGCTCTTCTCCGGTCATGGAACACCCTAGAATCGATTCAAATTAGAGAAAATCGCCTCAGTGACCAAAAATCCCATATAATATACGATTTTAACCAACTTTTTCCGGATTTGCCAAAATGACCAACAAAATCGCAATGTGATCGCTAATTCGCAACACGATCTCCATTATCGCAAATTCGCGTTGCATTTCGCGTTGCGATAGTTGGAAATCGCGTTGTGATGGTCTACAGTGTCGTTGCGATTTTCCCAATTCGCAATGCAAATAAGTAAATCGCAACGCGAATTGGGAAAATCGCAATGCGATACTGACTATCGCAATGCGATACTTACTATCGCAATGTGATAATACAAAATCGCAACGAGATACTGACTTTCGCAACGCGATTCTGACTTTCGCAACGCGATAATACATAATCGCAATGCGATTTTCAAAGCGCCATTAGTATCCTGGCCAAGTATTTTATTTTTAAATTCCAAACACGAATATTAATATATTGGAACACTGAACCCTCCACAGTATATCCCGTAATCGCAACTCATAACCTAAAACCTAAAATCACAACTCAGTCCCATCTCCATTTCTCACTCTCTCACCCATCTCCGACGAAATCCGTCCCCATCTCTGGTGAAATCCGTCTATCTCCATCTCTCAGAGCTACCCTCACAATCAGAAATGGAAAATCAACCAAATCAACCAACGAGGGTTAGTTTTTTTAATTATTTTCTTTTTGAAATTTTTGCATTATTATTAGGTTTTTCATATTGAAATTGATGATAAGTTTACTGGTAATTTCAATAATAGATTAACCATTTCACTTAGATTGCTTATTAAATCAACCGAGAATCGCAACGCGAAATGCAAATCGCAACGCGATTTTAGTTTCGCGTTGCGATAGTCAAATTCGCGTTGCGATAGTCATTTTCGTGTTGCGATTTTCATTTTCAGAAACTATTCTTCTTCTGTAAATTGAAACTTGAATGAATTGCATTACTTCAACCAAAAAACAAAGACAAATACGAAATTCACAGTGTTGCAAATTTAAGTTTGAAGAATAAACTACTACTCTTTATGTTTATTATTGTTTTTGGTATATCTTCACAGTGTAGTTTTTGGTATATCTAACTTAGTATGTTTATTGTTTTTCTAGAACTTTTATTCGGCTCAATTGACCTTAAGAAATAAAGTCAGCCTGGCCAAAACAATTGCGTCGAAGCTTTCACCTGCACAAAGAAAAATGTTTGAGGATACATGCTTCGGGCCATGGCTGAAAGTACAACATCCCGGTGGAGATGCGATGTTGACACACCTGTTTCTTCAAACCATGACTAGCGATCTACCAGAGACTATACAACGTCGTGATGAAGAGATATGGTTTGATTTTCCACCGGTGTATACGTGATTTGGGCGGGAGGAGTTTTGCTTAATCACCGGTCTACGCTTCGGACACGATGATGTAGGTCGGTACACTAGACACATTACCCGCCCATCATGGCTATCCCGGGTTTTTCTTGAGCTTGAGAGGCCGAATCTACACGTAGAAGACCTGACAAGATTGTTGAATAAGAAAGATGGTTTTACTCAGATGGATGACGTCGACGTTGTCCGAGTATGCCTTCTAATTCTTTTGCATGTTGGCTTTTTAGGCAGAGAGGCCAGACAACCTATTCCAAATGATCTAATAAAATTGGTAGAATACCTAAATGCGTGGAACCTGTTTCCGTGGGGCTCGTATTTATGGAAAGCTACATGGAATAAGTTATCGTCTGCCTTGGATGATCGAAAAAGTTTGCATGGCGATGGTTCCAAACACACTTTGACAGGCTTTATTTGGGCCTTTAAGGTAATAATTTTTATATAATGTTTCCAAAATTATAAGTAATTATTTAACAATTACTAATGTTTGTTATTATATTGTTTGTAGATTTGGATATTTGAGGCCTTTCCCGCCATGAAGACATATGCAATAAAAACTTCAAATGATATTCCCAGGGCTATTTCCTGGAAGAGGAAACGGACCTTGCAATGGGAAGATTTACTACGGTATACGACAATAAATAATGTAAGTTAACATAAATACTACCATATGTTTATAAACAAGTTATTACTAGTACACATTTAACTTTGTTTGAGCTTTTATATTGTTAGGAGGCCAACACTCCTCTACAGAGGCTGACACCCACGGAAGCTGAGCTTGTCACTGATTGGTGGCAAGCTAGTAAGCGTTTTTTTGATGGAACGGTTGATGAGCAGCCTCCACTTCGGGAGCCATCACCTCGCCCAGAGCTATCACCTCACCCAGAGCCATCATCTGATCGACCCGACTATACACCTCCACAATGACAACCATCACCTATTATGTCACATCATCGAGCCTCTTCTCCACCATCACCGCAAGATAGGCGACCGGCAAAGATGCCACAACGTTTATCTCCTTGTTCTCCACCTCCACCTCAACGGGATGAGTTAGGGGAGTTACGTGATGAGGTCAATGCCTTACCTGAGGAGGTCGGTACTTTACGCAAAGACGATGGTGAATGGCATGTTGAGGTGTCTACATTACGCGATGAGGTAGCCGCTCTACGTGAGATGGTAGTATTGTTACAGAATGAGGTTCATACTCTACGCAACGAGGTAAGTTTAAGATTTTTCATACTCGTAATTCATTCGGTTGCTGCCAATACTGCTAAAATGTTTTTGTTAGTATTTGTTTTTGGTTTTGTTTTTGTCTTTTGGTTGAAGTAATGCAATCCATTCAAGTTTCAATTTGCAGAAGAAGAATAGTTTACTTTCGCAACACGAAAATGACTATCGCAACGTGGAAATGGCTATCGCAATGCGAAATGAAAATCGGAACGACAAAATCGCAATGCGAAATGAAATCGCAACGACAAAATCGCAACGCGAAATGAAAATCGCAATGCGATTTGTGTTTCGCGTTGCGATTTTGTCGTTGCGATTTCATTTCGCATTGCGATAGCCATTTCTGCGTTGCGATAGTCATTTTTGCGTTGCGATTTTAAGTTTCGTGTTGCGAAAGTAAACTATTCTTCTTCTGGAATGTTTATATATGTTGTCCTTTTAAATGTTTATATAAGTGCTTACTTCTGGAATGTTATCTGAGCATTTTGTGAACTATGATAGAATAATGACTTGGGTGAATACAATGCTAGTTTGAAACATATTTATCTTTGTTTAATATCATGTATGTTTATTTACTGATTTATGTATTAATTTTTTTTAGCGGCCCGAAAATTTGGATGCTTTACGTCGGGTTTTCTTGCACGACGGAGTTCACGCATCAGACGACGTGGACGTGCTATTACGTCTCTGTTCACCCCAATGGTGCAAAGACTCCGCAAGAAGAAGCCCGACTCACCTGTCATCCCTCAAGAGTCCCCTCCAATCGTTCAAGAGGCCCCTATCCTCCCTCAAGAGTCCCCCCCACCGTTCAAGAGGCCACTGTCATCGTTGAAGAGGTCCCTCCCACCATTCCAGAGTCCGATTCACATGGGGTAATATATCAAAGTATTGAGAAACCCCCACCGGTTCCGGACATGATGGATGAGAGTTGGCTCTCGTATGAGTTACCGGCTAGTACCCTTCTGGTATCTGAAGTGGAGATGAGACAACTACCGGAAACAATTGTGGATAATACCCTTTGGGCTAAGACCACAGTTGATTTTTATCTATATGAGCGGAGCCAAGGGTGTTACACTGACATAAGCAAACTCAACGATGAAATGTTTTTGTTGCTTGATCGGTCTTGGTGGGGTGTGCTATTAGGGGTTGA